TCAAATTATCATCAGTTTCCAAACTTATTGTTCATGCTCAATAAAATTACAAACACAAAATTATAACAAAAACTACAAACATAAAATGAGTTACAATGAATCTTGTGCATGTGTGTTCATTGTCCAAGACTTCAAGCCGACTAATTTGACTAATTTGATCAAGAAGTTTTTAATATTTGTCATATTAGGTTTTTTAATCACACACAATCATGCGTCATATTTTTAAAATATTAGTATTTAATTGTATTTAGTTATAAATTCATATGAAACAAAAAAAAAAACTCATAGTCATATATAATTAGAGAACTTGACATAATAGATATAAGAAACTTGACCTAAGTTTTTTCTTAATTTGAATCTTTTTTCTCTTTTCTTGTTCATATTCATAATACGTTTTCTCTGTATACTTATCTAAATATACTATTATATATTTACAAGTGATTGTAAACTATTTAGATTAGAATTTAAATTTATTACGAGTTTAGGTTAGCATCACTGATAAGAACTCTTATCTAAATCAAGCTTGTCCATTCGTGACAAAGGTGCAAATTGCTTGAATTTGGATCATAAACTCGTAAAAATTTATCTCCATTGATAAATAACTACTAAAAATATATAATTAAATAATTAAAATACAAAAATAAAATAATTTGGTTTTAACTTTCAATATATCTCAAATAGCTGGTTAAAAAAAAATTCAAATCCAAACTTCTTCCTATTTTAGTCTTTCATTTTTCCCCCTTAAATGCCAATTCTTAATCAGAGGGTAAATGTTGTGAGTTTGCGACAATAGATCGGAAGTACATGACTTTACAATTTCAAAATGGGGTAACTTATTTTTGGTATTTCTCCTTTTTGTATTATATTAAGTTTTATCTTTTGGACCAGGTCCTCCTATATGCTTTGAAAATGAATTCAACCTGATATATGTTTCTCTTATTGGATTCGGTAAAAAATTAGTGAGTTTAACAAGTCAACCGTGAGTTCAATTAACTTTATAATTAGTATGAATTTAAGAACAAGTTGACATGATATCGCAATTTAGAGACACAAAAACCATAAATTTTGTGGGTCAACTTGCAAATTCCATTGAGTTTTACAAGGGTTTTGGTAATTTCAAAAAGCACTTTTAAAAAAAATGCTATTACGTAAGTTGGGACAAAATTCCTTTTATATACTTACTTTTATTATAAAATAACTTTAAAATTATAATTTGATTTTTTTTCCAAACATCCATTAGTACAAGTTTGAGAGAAAATTGATACTTCTTCGATCTTAAATATAAGACTTATTTTACAGTGTAATTTATATTATAAAATAAGTTTTATATTTAAGATCAGAGTAATATAATTTTGTAAGTTAGAAACACAGAAATTATAAACTTGATGACTTTCTTGCCAATTAAACAATAGCTTGGATATTTAAACAAGTGTGGCAAGAAGGTATGGCATGATTCGAAGCCCACCACTAGAGAGAAGTTCTAGAAGGTTGGCTTAATAGTATGAGCATAACGCATGCACTTCCGTCATATGGTAAATACATAATTTACCTATTTAAATTAGTTATTCATCAAATCGCTTAAAGGAGCCAATTTTTGCCCTTTTTCCCCTTTCAGGTGGACAAAATCACCGTTTTTAAGAAAGAGAAAACGAGTATTTTAGAGTGCCTATACTTTTTTTTTTTTCAGTTTTCAATTTGATAACTTTGTTTTTTCCTCTTAATTAAATTTTTAATTTTACTCCATTAATATCGTTAACTTTTACTTGGAGACTAAAAATACTAATAGAACAAAATTACAAGAGTTAATATGATTAAAAAAATAAATAATTTAATTAAAAAAAGCGCATAGGTATCAAATTAGAAATTGAAAAAAAGTATAGGTATCTCCAAAAGGATTTTTTCTTTAAAAAAATAAAATTTTGAGCCCAATTAATAAGCATTTCATTAGTTTAATTAGCCTTAATCTTGGTGGCAAAAAAATTAGCCTGAATCCAAATTAGAGTTTAATTATAAATAATATGTAGGTTAAGAGTCCGTTTAGAATAATTTATAAGTAGCTTTTTAATTGTGATTTACGGAATATAAGATAAATATGTGTGATGAATTTTGTCTCGACTTACGTAAAATGTGCTTATAAGTAATTTTAATCATGATTCCAAATGGGATCTAAGTTGCTTGTAAATATTATGATAAATATTTACTGGTAAAATTGAGTATTCTCCGATAATTTATTATCCAAAAGTGCTTTTTGGCCCCAATTCAAGTAAATAAAGTTAACATAGCCTAATAAATGTTAGAGGTATTTTAAGAAAACTATTCTAAATTGTTACCAAAATTAATTGAAAAATGAACTTAACTTGATTTGTTTTAAAATTTTGCCAATTAGATAAAGAAATCTTATATACAAGGGTAGGTCTCATGGACGTGACTCAAAATAAATCAAAATTTGTAAAAATGTGACCTCTATGCTTTTTAGTTTTTTTTAGTCAAAAGAACTTTTTTTGAACATTTGCACTTGTTTCCATAGTTATAATTAAAGAAAAATATTTAGATTAAATTTCTGATATCTATTATGTCAATTTTTTCAATCATACTTATTCATACGTTCTTCTTTTTTTTTCTTTTTATCAAGATTTATAGTTTAATCATCCCACCTTGGGTCCTTCATATAAACATGACTAATTTTGAGAGATCAATAAAATTAAAAAAAATTACTTTAAATTATATATTTTTAAAAAATAATTTATTTGATTTATAAACTGATATATAATTTAATTATACATATAACAATTTCAAAGAAATCATAAATATATATGTTATAATTAGATAATCTTTTAGTTTCATTAATTTCTCCAAATTAGCGGATAGATATTATATCAAGGATCAAAGATAGAAATATTTTTAAAAATAGACACATGGCTATATATATAATTTGAGAATTTAACATAATAGATATAAAAATTTTAATCTAAATATTGTTATTTTTATTATATCCCAACTCAAGGTAAAATACACAGCGCTCCCCGTAGTTTTTTTTTTTTTTTTGGCCACCCGCAGTTCATACTTTGTAATTATTTGGCATACGGATAACGGATCCCTCGGCCCTCGCCGTACGCCCGTTACTTTTCAGCGTTCCACAAGTAGCCTTGATCAAATATTAAGAAGGGCAAAATAGCCATCTAAGAGTGCTTTCGAAGGGCTGTATTGTCTTTCTACTGCTCCATGCAGTGGCAAATTTGTCTTCATGATACGCTATTTCAGTAAATATGAAAGTAGTTGGAGGGCAAGATCGTCATTCAAAGAAATTAATTTTTTATGGGTTGCCAAAATAAAATATTAATTTCATATCCATGCGGGGACCACCGGCGCTTCCCACCACAGCCAAGCAATTTCTATTTTAAATTTGAGAAGGAATAAAATATTTAAATAAAAATCGTTAGAATATTTTCCGAAATATTTTAATATTCTAACGCCCTTTTTAATATTTCTTTGGTTTCTTCTCCTTCGTTTCTTCTATGGAATCCCCTCTCTCATGGCTTCTTCAGAAATCCAAATTTTATCTCTCTAAGGTTTCTCTCTCTACCATTACTCTCTCTCTCTACCATCCATTATCTTGTTTTGTTCACCGAGGAAGTTCATTACATTGCTGATCTGTGCTTCGATATCTGTTGATTCTGCTTCGATTCTATCCTTTTATCATAACTGGTGAGTGCCACCACTTTCAAATTCATTTTCTCGGCTAAGTTTCGCCAATTTTGAATTCCTTTTGTTGTTTTATGTTTTATCTAATCCTTAGATTATGAATTTACTCAAATGCAACTTGAATTTTGCCATGATCGTTTTAGTTTCCAAGAATCCGAGATAACGGGGAAATGGTTCTGCCGTGGCAATAGTCCTGTGATCGTATGAAGTGTGGGAGATTTTATATGTTTGAATGTTTTCCTAAAAAGGTTGGATTGGACATGACGTTTTGACAGAAAAAAATCATATTTAGTCAGTATTTGATTGTTCAGTATTCAAAAGGAAGATTTTGTACGGAATATTTTGAGGTAACATTTCTTTGTTTTTTTTTTCCCCTCCCCCTTTTGCTCAATTCAGTCATTTTCTGAATTCTTTTTTTTTAAAAAAAAAAACTTGTTGCACTCTGAAGTGAATTATTTGATCTTGATTGCTTTTAAACATTCGCGCATGATATGTCGGCCAAGAAAATTTGAATTTCTGGGATAGATTTGCCAGAGTCGTCTGAAATGAATCCGTGCTCGCGTATAAAATTGTCAGGTGTATGAGTCTCTAATATGGGACTGATCATAGTTATCGATTTGTCGGAACTGTCCCCCGTTCTATCTGTTCTGGATGGATGGGATGAGCTAATAGGTCAAAGTAAAGTCTTGCACAGTGGGAAATTCAAGAACATTTCAATGGCTGGCCATGATACTGGAACTTCTATTCCTGCAATTTTGCTATTGTATGCTTATTTTCCACCTGATGTTTCAGGTGATCTGATTACCGAAGTTTTACAAAATATTAACCTTTTATTTTCTACTGCAGCTGATTTCCCTGTTTCATAAATGGGCACTGTTTGAAGTTGCGAAATGGATTTGCTTATGAGATGCAAATATAATGGCTTAGTCAACTGGAGTTCTGGGAATCGCAACATGTTGACAGACTTATTGCAGCCTCTGAATCACTGCTACAGTGAAAAGTGGATTATTCATGATATTAAATCCTTCGTGCTACTTTTTGATGCCACCTCATTTTTACAAACCAGTTGCCAACACTGTGTTGACAGTGTAGACATCCTTCCATGGAGTTTGTTTCTGTCTTTTTGAAGACTTACTGTTTATAGTGTTGCGATTCTAAAAAGGAAAGGTTAGTTTATTTTTTGCTTGATTCATGTCGTTGTTGGGGTCTCATTTTTGCTAGCAGATTAATATTTATATGCTGTTTCTTTCTAGATATGAAATTTTGAGAGAGCTAGGAGATGGTTCTTGCGGTCATTATTAAGGCCCGTGATTTGAGGACATACGAGATTGTAAGCAACTCGGGCAAAAAGCAGTTCTTTCAATCTTATGCTTGATACGTTTATTCATCATTCTTGTTTTGAATAATTCTTTATTGCGTTGTAAACATTTTTGTCACCTTATTGGTAACATAATGTCATGACTTTATTACATGCAATGGTCAGTTTAAAAAGTGAGATATATAATTAGGCTTTCTGTGGTTGAATCGGCTCAGAGATGGTGTAACTTCATCTATAGTGAGCAATGAAGGGCAACATGGATATTGTGTTTCTCCTTTCTTGTTGCCCCCACTCCCCTCTCTTGAAACACATTGGGGTCAAGCTAGTAGCTGATATTTAGCTTCTGCTTTATATAGACAGCTTTGAAATTATTAGTGCTTGCAGATTTACATTTTATAATATCTGTTGATGCTATTGTCATGCCCTTTTTTTTTTTTTTTGGTGACAAGGTTGCTGTCAAAAAGTTGAAAACAAAGTTCTATTTCTGGGAAGAATTTACAAATTTAAGAGAAGTCAAGGTATATGGTACAGTAAACTTTAGCAGTTAGGAGGGGTGATTACTAGATTCCACATTTAATTTTTATTATTCTTGTTTCTCTATTCATGTGTATAGCGTTCTTTTGCAGGCTCTCCAAAAAATGAATCACCCAATATCATAAAGTTGAAAGAGTGTATGGATCAGGGAAATAATGAACTGTTTTTCATATTCGAATACATGGTGAGGGAGCTTATATTCTTCATTTTTATTTTCTTTGTGATTTTGTGTGCATAAAATATGAATTAAATTTTCCTTGTTTTTTCATGAATCATGATTACTGAAAAAAAATCACATTAAAGAGTTATTTATTATATTTTAACTGAATCATACTTGATAGTAAAATGATGTGTAGAAGAGGAAGGTTGAAACTTAGGAGGAAATGAATACTTTACAAAATAATAAGACTTGGGGCTTCAATTCCAATGTGCATCCATCAATGAAACCTCTCCTAACTGCCTGGAAGTAAAATACCTGATGATTATGCTTTGCTCGTTGTCAGCAAATGCAGGAGGCTCATATTGGTCCTATTATTACAGCTTACAACTTTGTATACTAGAAAAATCATGAATTCTTATGTAATTTTATTGATTAGTTGCTGAAATAAATTGAAAAGATGATAAATTTCTATGGACATGAAAAATAAAAAGTAAATTAATAAATCCAAAATATTTTCTAATTAACATATGAAATTCATGATTTGAGTACATAATTATGTGACTAAATGTTAGAAATAGTTATTCTGTGCACACTTTACTTCACTTGAGTGATTGCTTTCTTTGTCTCCCCTGTTTCTTCTTTCTTTCACTCCAAAGTCAAGAACCTACTGTTTTCTTTTGGACCAGAGGACCTGCTAGCACCTTGAGTGCCTTTTTTTGATTTATTGCAAGCTTTTAACACTGAGCTTCTCTTCAGGATTATAATCTTT